TTTAACCCCTACATTCATGTGCATTAAATCAACATAAAATGTAAGTTACTCCAATATTATTAGCTTTAATTTTATAGTAAAATTAAAATTAAAAATAAAAACTAAAAATTAATATTAATTTTTAATTTGAAAGCTAAAACTTTTATAAATTATACTAGTAATGCTCTAGAATTCCACACAGATATCAGTTAATAGTATTTATCCATTTGCATTGTATGTTAAATTGCACATAAGCACGTTATACATGATGAAAGCTGTATGAAATTATCACTACTATATAAAAAGGACAATGTTTCACTATTGTATAAAGAACAGTAAATTCTTCTATTGTGTCATACTGTAGTTTTTTTTTATTGAGATGAGAGAAAGAAACGACATCGTTTATCTTATGTGTTTGATACAGTGATTTTGTTGCCTTTCCTCAATTTACGCGGCGTTAAGGATTATGTCATAGAGCCCTCTTTACTCTTTCTCCATTTTTACATGCTACAGCCATGCCTCTTTATTTCTCTACACTATCTTTTTCACAATTTTCTCACGCTATCAACCATGTATCTTTAGAAAGTTTATTTTTGAGCACATAAGTAAGTTTAAATAAAAATATTACTTTTATATATGTACGTAAAAGTTATATAGTAACCATTTGGTTGACAAAAAAATAATATCAATCAAAATATTTACGAACCGTTTGAATAATAATTTATTGAGGGGGTTAATTCAAGAGCAAAAGTGTGAATTCCATAAATATATGATTGAAAGTATGTTTGAAAAAAAATAAATTTTAAAAAATGAAGACCAAACATGTTAACAAATGAATATATTTATTTATCGAGAAATGAGTTTTTATTAATATTTTATTTTTATCATGAAATGATTCTAATATTAATATGTTAGATTATGCTTCAAAATTACATCATCTATCAAATATAATTTTTAAAATTAATTTTTAAAAAGTAATATGTTTTTATGATTTTTTTATTTAGTAAAGTAATTATGGAGGCTCAAGCATGAGCTCATGCTCGAGCCTCCATAATATATTACTTTATAAAATTGATATGAATTTAATTATTTTCTATTTTTTAGTACTATTATATTTCACCTTCCAAAAAAAAATTATAAAAACATATTACTTTATAAAAATTAATTTTAAAAATTATATTTGATAGATTATGTAATTTTGAAGTACAATCTAACATGTTAAGATTAGAATTATTTCATGATAAAAATGAAATGGTAATAAAAACCCATTTCTCGAAAAATAAATATATTCATTTGTTAACATGTTTAGTTTTCATTTTTAAAATTTATTTTTTTTCAAACATACTTTCGATCATATATTTATGGAATTCACACTTTTACTCTTGAATTAACCCCCTCAATAAATTATTATTTAAACGGTTCGTAAACATTTTGATTGATATTAATTTTTGTTCATCCAAATGGTTACTATATACCTTTTACGTACATATATAAAAATAATATTTTATTTAAACTTACTTATGCGCTCAAAAATAAACTTTCTAAAGATACATGATTGATAGCGTGAGAAAATGGTGAAAGAGATAGTGTGGAGAAATAAAAAAGCATGATTGTAGCGTGTAAAAATGAAGAAAGAGCCTCTATAATGCCTTCGTTATTATGGAGGCTCATGCTTGAGCCTCCATAATAACTGAGGCTCGACACTTTTGAGCCAAATGCCCCTGTAAGCTAAATATTGCAATTAACAAAATTCTAGAACAAATTAGCAATTTTCGAACTAGAAGTCTCAATAGAAGTGCTTCCTTTCTTTTTTCTCTTTCTTTTCTATTTATTTTCTTCCTTCCCCGTTAGTTATAAGTAAATTATGTAGTTACACAAATGATTAAAGTTGATGACTTTCTTACAAACTTCATTGACCATCCATCACGAAAAAATGTACTTCTATTTTAACAAGGAAAAAATGTTATTTATATTGCCATTATTTTGAAGAAGTGCCCTTTAAATTTTAGTCGAATTCAGAATGTTGTTTTGATTTATTAGTTAACAAATTCAGTTTTGGATTTTCAATTTCATTTCATTTGAGGATTTAATTCTGAATATTCTCTTTCACTTTGTTTAGTATTAAACTAATGGAAATTAGTGCATCGTTCCTTTTTCCTCTAATTTTTACATAACTGTAACTTAACTTTATTTTCCCTTTTCTTTTTCCTTTATTTACTATGCACAACATTGAGTTTTGCTAATCTCATGAGTCATGATATACATAAAAAATCTTAGACGGACATATTAATTTTGTGCCTTTGTAAACATTTTGTCTCAAAGTGTAAATAATAAAAGAAAATCATGTCAAATTACCATTGATGTTTTCACAAGTTACTCTTTAGTTATAACTGTTTTCACCAGCATAAGAATTAAGACTTGGATATTCTCTTCTAGAGTTAAGTTGCTGAGTGTACTATGGTAAATGCTTTGAAGTTTTTGTTCACATCTCCACGCATATGTATTTAATCTTGTTCAGGACAGTTCCAAACATCCTTTTTTTAGCAGTGGAAGTGCAGCTAGAATTGGAATAATTCTTTATTCTTCCCAATCCACTGTTCAACTTTTTCATTTAACAGTTTTGAATATTAATGATTTAGTAGCTGAAGATATAATTATTAGTTTAAATGAATGAGATGAGGACATAAAAATCATTGGGGCTGCCTCAAGAAAGGCAATGGAGGAGGGTGGTATCTTGTATGTATCATGCATTATAGTTTATCCCAAGGAAGCAATTTATTTCAAACTTGTTAAATGTTAGAGTCTTTTTTAACCCATTGAGAATTGCGTTCCCACAACTATTTTAATAGTCTTTGCTCATAGGGCTAAATGCTTTAGATTTGTACACAATCTAAAAAACATTTTTACCTTCTATTAATTTCTAATAGTCTACTTCTCTCGAATTACTGATAACGCACTTTTTTCCAGTCTAAGAATAAAGATATCACTTGTTAGTTTGTATGTGAATTTGTAACTTTTTCCAGGATATGCCTACTTGTGACCTTAGTTTACTTAATCTTCCTGAGATTCAACAATTAGTTTATTTAGTCGACAACATCAGCTTAGAATATTCTATGTAATTAAAGACTGATTTTTTAAAAGAAGCTAATTCCTTTGAAGGAGAGCTTCATTTTTATAATATTCACTCCCTCCTTCTGAAGTGGACAAGAAAAATCCGGGTATTGTTAGAAGCATACATATGGATAAGCTTCTAGACTTCGAAAATATTGAATCTCAATATTGGACAGAACTAGATGTAGTATTGAGTAATGTTAAGGAGTTTTTTAATTCTACAGAGTTTGAGTTAATGAAATATCTATCAAAGCATCGTTTAACAATACATTGCCTTGAAGTTTAGTTACACTGTTCAAATTCCTCATCACGAATGGACACCTAAGTGTTGTAGAACAACCGTGTTTTAAGGAGTACTCAACATTCCATTAAGGAAAATAGCCGTTGATGAAGAATTTTAGGATTTTCAGGTTCTAACTTCTGTTTTACCTTGAATTATTTCTCTACTATACAATAATACATTTATATCTATTATAATTTGTTGAAGGATGTACTACTATGGTGTTAGCTTTTTTTGTTTGAAATGCTTTTACTGTTCAGTGGAGTATTTCTTTGACTAACTATGACTTGAATTCTCATTATTAATAGATTTTATTGATTCTACAACTTTTGGTAGAAAAATGACATTTTGTGGAAGAAAGACGAGTCATTGACTCGTATAACTGGTTAGTTCCTTGCCAATAATTCCAACTTCTCATATATTTTCAAACATATTCAATACATACGCTAACCAAACCATAATTCATGCACAGCTCGTGTATCGCACGTAGCATAGACTAGTATATATAATTATGATATGAATGGATCAAGAGGATCCTATATAGTGCTCTATAAATGGAATATCTTGTAATGAGAGTTTTTTTTTTTTTTAATGATATCGAAAATTTAATAATGTGATTATAATACGATGATAAATGAATGATACGAAAGTTATGAATATTCTATAATTATTTACTTCTGCTCTACATAGGTCAAGATCAAAGAGTCAAACATTGAGGTAATCTTTAAATCGAGGTAGTTTTCTTTTCTTGGAGTTCTCTTGGCAAAATAATTGTGTATGAATATTGATTATGTTTGAATTAATTTGAAGTTCTTTAACTTATATTTGTAGATTCATATTAAAGCATGGTTTTAATTTTTTAAACTTGTATTTGTAGATTTACAGCCAGTACAATGCTACGTTGATATATGGTGAATAATGATATTGATTTGGCGTTTTTCTATTCATTGTGCTATTTTAACTATAAATCAAAGATTGTGCTACTTTCAAAATAGTGGGTCAACAATGCCATTTTGTTAATATTTTCTGGCACTAATAGTACAATTTTTTTCCCCAAATATATGAATTTGAACACATTTGTTCCAATAAGGTTTAAGGTTGTATTTACTATTTAGTCTTAAGATAGGAGTGACATAGTGATTAAAAATTGAAGGAAAAATTGTAGTGACAAACTCATAAAGTATAATTAGATTTCAATCCTCAATTAAAAAAAGGTTATTCCACCGAAGGGTCGGGATGATTGAACTGTTAGCCCTTGTTTCGACTTCATTTTTTCATAATATAATGAAAGGAATACTAATTTTATTGAAGAGTATGTAGTTAAAAAGAGAGAAATTTTTTTTATGTTTACATGTAATATTATTTTATTGAAAAATGTGTGATTGATAAGAAAAATAAATAAATTTTAATTTAATGATGGCCAAACAGGGACTTATTTGAGTCACTTAAAGCTTGATAGTTCGACACAAGTCATGCAACAAATCAATATGGTTGAAAAATCGTGTTATTTTATTTTATTTTATTTATTTAAAAAATTAGCCAAACAAAAAGATAAAAAAAAAAAAGAAAAAAGAAAAGAGAAACTCCAAAAAATGGAAAGCAGAACCGGAAATAAACATCTGATTAGTAAGTCTGTATTACATCGAAATTACGACCCGACCCACCATCAACCCCATTCACAAGATCCCAATTTTTTTCCCGCAAACCCCAAACCAAACCTTGCTGTGTTCTACAATCTGAAGCCATTTTCCAGACGGGCTCCGAGGAAGTCAGAGAGTAAATAGGTTTCAGAAACTCCGATTTTGAGACATACACAAATATATCAGAGAGATAGAAGGAGGAGTCAGAGATGTCTCTAACTAGTGTAAAGATGTCGGAGGAAGTGTGGTTGACATGCCTGACTCATGCATTGTCCACTGAGACCGAGGAGATCATGGGTCTTCTTCTTGGTGACGTTCAGGTGGATTATTTTTGCCAGTCTCTTGGATTACACATTCTTTTATGGGTTTTGCTTATAAAGTTGGAGACTTTATTCTGTTTCAAGCCTTCTTTTTTTTTGGGTAGAACAATTATACTTTATGGGTCTCTTCTTTTGTTCATTGATTGAATATTCTCTGGAGGGTTTTATTCTGTTGATTTAGCTGTGCTGATTATTGACACCCCTGAATTTTTAATGTAAATAATTTTCTGCCCTGAATTTAATCAGCACTTTGAAAATTTGGATTATGAAATCAATTCTGAATTGGGTTTTGCAAGATTGAGAACTTCATCAAGTTCAATCGTGATATGGAAATTTTCTTGTGAGGGTTATGGGCATTTTCCACAAATGGGATTGTATAAAATATTTCTGTGGATTGTTTTTGGACTTATGTAAAGATAGAATTGGTTATTTGATTCTTGATATTAGTTTTAATACTGATAAACATTTTTTCTTATTGCAAGGTGGTTTACGGTAACTAGGTACTATAATCTGTATGAGCCTTGTAGACACAACTTTTTAAGGTCTCCATTGCTTTCAATCTGAAGTTCTTAGCCCTCAGGGAAAGTCACAGTTTTCCTTTTTAACTGATGCAAACTCCCGGCTAGTGTTTTTATTGAGATTTTCCTTAAAATTCAGAAAATACAGTTATCTTCATTATGTTGAACTGACGTGAGTACTTATATGATGTTAGACTTCAAATGCAATAGATGCACATAGTGTTAGCCCACATCTTCAGTTTGGCTTGTCCAGGGCATTCAGGGGCAAAATGATTTATATACATATCCTTACGTTGTAGTTTGTCAATTTGGATCTATTCTAACTTTTAGACATTATATTGACATTTTGAGGCTCTATCTCTGTTTCTTGCCTGTCGTCCACTAAATTGTATATGTTTGATTAGGGTGTCATATTTTGTTTGAACACAAACACAATTAAACTAATTCTATTTTTATGCAGCATTCAAGAAATGGAAATGTGGTTGCATTGGTATGGGGAGCCCTGCCCCAACCTCGTTCGGATCGTCAGAAGGACCGAGTAGAGACTAATCCAGAACAGTTGACTGCCGCGTCAGCTCATGCTGAAATATCCTTTTTCGTGATATTCTTCCTCGATATCTTGGTTGTAGTGAAAATTGATGCATAATATGTTTGCTACCTTTGCAGAATGCAAAGTAATACTGGCTCTGGATGTACCTAGTTTCCCATGTGTAATTTGAATTCAAACTATTTTTATACCTTATAATTTTTTGGAAATGGATTTAGTGGATTACAATTGCTTCAGAAAAAAAAAGCTAGTTTCCGCAGGTTCTTACACTTAACTATCCACCTAAGTATGTGGAGCGAAATCTCACACAATGGGGAATATGATTCACATTTGTGTGTGGCTTGTGTTGTTTGGTCCATTGATTATCGGTGACTCTTTTGGTCTAGTTAACTTTATAGCACAGAGTTACAATGGCAACAGGAATAACAACCAGGGTGATTGGCTGGTACCATTCACATCCTCACATCACTGTTCTCCCCTCTCATGTTGGTGAGCTTCTCAAAATGATTTTAAATCTAATTGTACCCTTTTTTTGCCGGTTTATAGTCACTCTTATTTGTTAAACATCAAGCAGCTGGCATATTGTCGGATTGGTCGAATTCGCAATGAATATACTATAGTTTATTTTTACCAATATAACTAGATATGTTCCTTCTCTTCTATGAGACCTTAAGTGGCTGTAAGTAATTTTCAGACGACCAGCATGTTGACTTGAACTCCGGGATAAAATCTTATGGATTCACTGGTGTTGCTTTTTTCACTAAAAAAATATATTAATTGATTTTGTCAATTGATTGGAAAATTCAGTTATTGGCCTATTCTATTGAAAAATTCTTAGACAAAGAGCAACGTTTCTAAATCATCATCACTTACAATGGTCATCTTTTTAGAAAGGGTTTGGTTGTTTCATGGAAATAAACTAGTCATTTCCTAGGATACTTTTTAGTATATTAGGTCTTTGTAAGCAATAATAATTTTCTGATCACTTGAAAATAATGTATTTATCAGTTGTCCCATTTGATTTCTTCAGATGTGCGTACTCAGGCTATGTATCAACTGTTGGATTCTGGTTTTATTGGGTTGATATTTTCATGTTTCAGTGAAGATGCGCAAAAGGTTTGTCTTAGGTTTCTAGTAAGATATCTTTGCAAAAGATGCCTTCTAATAATAGCTTAAAATCATTGTAGGTTGGAAGGATTCAAGTCATCGCATTTCAGTCTTCTGATCGGAAGCAGAATCACATTGTTAGACCTGTTTCTATTTCCCCACAACAGAAAAGTTTTATAGATATTGAATCATCTTTAAGTTCATCAGAGAACAGAGTGACTAAATCAGGCTCTATCAAAGAAAATATTGAACAAGACACTGGTGATTCCGGCACAGTTAAGGTATATTAACAAACATTTGGTGTGTCTGATTTCCCTTCTTTTCTTCTGTATCTATTAGGAATGCTTTTTCCTTTTAATTTTCCCTTTGCAACTTTGGTACTCACTTAGTCTTTGATATTCTGAGTTGAAACATGAGCCATAATGAGGGTAAAGAACTTAATACTTTGGATGTGTCTGTTTATCAATTTTTTTGTATATAGTTTGCTGACTTGAGACTTGTCCCCTCTTAGACTGACAACTGTCACTATTGATTCTAAATGCTATTTCTTTTTACTTTTCATAGCTGATGCACGTCAATTGTAACTGATTGGGTAGGTCGGGGATAGATCACATGACTTGGGAGGATTTTCTGGGAATGCCAATGCCAGAATGTTAGACAATTACGATGCCAACAATTTAAATAATGCAATTCATGATTTAGATCCCATGGAGATGTCAGATGGTATGCAGGAAGCAATGCACCTTTCGAATTTGGAGATGAGGTAAAATGAGTATGTTCTCAAATCACTTTCTATCCTATCTTCAAACATGTTTTTATTGTTATTAAGCATTAGCTTTTTGAAAGTTAGCTTGATTTTAGCACAATGTGTTGGACAAATTTTTTGAAAAAGAAGGAAAAAGGGGCAGCCAGTAAGAAGACGGCAAACACAGAAGTGAGAAAACCAAAGACAACTGACAACATCCACGCTAATTTAGCAACTATAATGGTATTCCTGTAACTGTTCGACGAGGCTGGAAAATCTTACCGAGCTTGCTTAATTCCTTAATTAAATGATAAATTTGCAAAAGAAAACACGACAGCAGTTGTTCTCATTTCTTTGAATTGCTATCTCAAGGATTTGAAGATCTCTCTTTATTGGCTATTTGGCTTATGATTGTTACAAGTTATAATGAGGAATGGCACTGGCAAAATGAATTTTGAAATCTTGGAGACATTTTAATGCAGGACGAATTAAAAAAATAGAAAGAAGAAACAAGAAAGAGGGGAGAACCGGAGAGAATGGAGGGAGAAACTGGAGAAGAAGCAGAAATTCATGGGGGAGGGGGAGGGGGAGCCATAGGCAACAAACCACCAAAATATTCTTCAATTCATCAAAAACTAATGAAATTATATCGCAATTAGGTTTAAATAGTAAAGACTGAAACTTTAAGTAGAATGGGCTTGGGCCAACACAAGCCCAATTACATAAATAAAATCTAAAATATAAATAAAGTCCAACTAAAAATAAATAAAAAGTAGATATTCTCATCAACTCTCTTGGGGTAGGAGAAAAACTCGACCCTGTCGAGTTGATAGATATTATAGGCTGCAGTCAATCTGATACTCCAAATGCGTCAAGTCAAGTCACGGGGGACGATCTTTCTGACGAACCAAGTAACGAAATTCCATGATTGATAGTACTGAAAACTGTAGCTTATTCCCAAGAATATTATCTGGCCAAGGAGGGCGATCTTTCCTTCTAACCAAGTACTGATATTGGATTCCAAATAACCAATACTCATGCACCCATCTTCAAGATTTTCACATGATTGTATATAACGAGGAGCATAAGAAGCACGTCGATCTACCCAACAAATAAGAAAGTACCGAATCTTGCCATCGTTGGTCAATACAACACGTTCATCTAAAATAATATCAATTTTATCTTTGTGTGCTGTGATAGATGGTATTGAAGTAAAAATATCGACATAGTCAAGTTGGGGGGTCCATAAAGTGAAGTAGAAATAGATCATCAAAGGAAGTAACATGGTGTTTGTAAGTAATGAAGTCCTCAATATTTAAAGTAGAGTGGTAGCCAAAATGTGATGAAAGGGCAATGACATGTGCATTTGAACCAACATGCTTTAAAATTTTTAAAGGACCAACAATACAAGCTTGCAATATAACATAATCCCCAATATTAAATTCAAAATATCGTTTATGCAAATCAACTTGAAGTTTATTTAATGCATTACTTGCGTCATGTTGTTTATTGATCTCAATATGCAAGTCATAAAGATGATGTACAAATGCCTTAGTTGACATAGACATACTAGTATGTGGAGACATTGGAATAAGGTCTAAAGGTTTCCTAGACTTATAACCATGAATAACTTCGATGGAACTCGTACCTATAAATCGATGCACAAAATTGTTATATGCAATTTGAATTGTTGGGAGGATCAAATCCCAATTCTCAATATTTTTCTTGAAAATGACATGATTACACAAATTATCCGTATCTTTGGGTTGGCAAAGAGTATCACACAACATTTAACTGAGGGGTATCGGGAACAAGGGGTACAACACCTAGATTCATAGGAAAAGTCCTGATACTACATAAGGAAGTGTCCTCAATATCATTCAAGTCATCACATTCTTCAAATTTAGGTTCATAAATTTGATCTTTTAATGATTCTTCTATTACATCCTTTCTGTTCTTCTACGACTAAGGCTCGGTTAGGACATTCGGAAGAGATGTGGCCAAAGTCCTTACAGCTAATGCGTAGCAGGTGAGAAGAAGTCCTTAGAATTTCAAAAATTTTACCCCTATTTTCCAAGATTTGAGGAACATTAGACGGGGAAGGTCCTAGAAGAGACTTAACGGAGGAAGTGGAGCCAATGAAACAGACGAATGGTTGTTAATACGCCTTTTATAAGGAGAATGGGTTCTTGGATTATCACGACCTTTACACTTATTTTTCCAAATAGGAGGAACACTAGATAGGGGAGGTCCTAGAAGGGACTTAACAGGAGAAAGTGGAGCCAATGAAATTGAAGGATGATTGTCATTACGCTTTCTACATGAAGAAGACAACCTTGGGCTATCACGACCTTTACACTTGTTTTTCCAAAGGGAAGGAACACTAGACTGGAAGGCTCTATGATAGACTTATGATGAGATGACGCTAATGAGATGGGTGAACGATGGTGATCACGCTTTTCATACGTAATACTAATAAGTAACTCATAGTCCCGAGCTGAAGAGTAAACTTAATCAAGAGTAGTGATGCCTCGAAAGAAAAGCTTACGCCTAAGTTCATTTCGTAGACGTTGTATAAACCTACTTAAAGTCAGGGTCTCATCCTCAACGACATAACATTTCACTCGAAATTCCTCAAATTGAGCAATGTACTCAGTTACTAGATTCTCTTGTGTAAGGGTGTTCCATTGGGTAAAAATTTCATGATCTAAGCAACCATCGAAAGTAGAAATATTTAAATCAATGTCTCTAAAGAAACGCTCCTTACGACAAGGTAGAGAATGAGTACCATGATGACCATGGCCTTGTTCTCGCTCACAAACCTGATCCCTATTCCTACGATCGTGTTGAAAATATTCTTGATCACTTTGTCCACGATGATATTGTCTATTATGAGACGCTTCAAAATTAGTGTCAGTTAAACGAGGGGTTCGCTTAAAATTGCTCAACTTAGCAGCTAGGGTTTTTCTCTCCTCACGAGTAGCAGTTATATCTGATTGGACAGTCGATAAGCTAGTGGCAAGTTGCGCTAATTGTCTAGTGAGTGCATCAAATTTGGGATGGATCCATGGTCAATGCATTGGAAATAAAGACGACAAGATGACCACTACGCAACTATATGCAATGTAATACCAGCTAAATGATGTGCTATGATGAGATTAGTGAATAATACGTGCAAGCAATGGAAAATAACTTGTACTAAATTTTTTTTATTTAATTTTAAATATTCAGATTAATTAAATCCAAAACAAGCTAATACTGCTGGTACATGTAAAATGGCAAAGCAAGGGTCAACACACTAGTCAAATTCTCCAATCAATTTAAGTGGGGAACAATGGAAGTCAATTTGGTCACTGATATCAATTCGATTAATGGTTTCGATCAAGTGGGGTTTAAGGCTAAAATTATCACGATAACAGCAGCACAAGATTTTAATTGATGCAATTTTAAAAATGAAGCAGTAGTATAAATCAATACTAAATAGAGATCAAGGACTCCCTGTTGTTTAGTTTTGATTATTTGTATGCCGATTGATCTGAATTGCCGACTTATGAGCCCCAACTATGTTTCTGTTCTTCCCTTCATGTCCAATGGTTTTAGCCCCTGTTGACTGTAACTTGTGCTAATTTTGGTGTGGACGTAAAATTGTGTGTGGTGACTGTGGCTTTTAGATTGTTGAGATGGACGAGGAAATATATGATTGTGGTAATTGTGGTGGAAGTGTATGTTCTTGGGTTGGTGATGGTGGCCTATGACGATGAAGCGGTAGTGCTCTGGATGCCTGGGTACAATAGATAATGATGTGGTGGTGTGATGGTGATTAGAGGCGGCAACGGCAAGAAAGTGGCTGTGAGAGAGGAGTCGGGTGAAACTATGGGGTATTTGATCTTAATGGATTGGTTATAATCGATGATGAGAGATGGGCTGTGCGTTTAGTAGGCTTTGGGAGTAATTTGGGCCACTAACTTATGGCCCAAGTGTTTTGATAAAAAAAATGAATGGAGTAGGTTATAGAGATGGAATATATGGGCTGAAGGGCTAAGTGGGCTTGAATGCTAGGGTTTGAGCCTTGTGGAACAACACTACAATTATTTTATTTTTTATTTATGAGCAGCAGCAGCAGCTGGAAAAAAAACGAGATTTTTTTTTTGGGGGGGCGTGAACAGTAACTTTTTTTTTTGAAGCTGATAATAAAAAAAATGAATTTTCGGGTTTGAATAGTACCTGTGAACAGTAACGCGCTTTTTTTCCCCTCTCAACTAAGTCTGAAAATTGAAGAAGAAAAATTTCTGCGTTTACCAAAAATTCTTTTAGTTTGTGCTGTTCCAACAGATTTTGGGAAGAAAATAGGAAGAAATTTTGGATTAAGAAAGAGAATTTACCCAAGTTTCGGCTCTGATACCAAATTTGATGCAGGACGAATTAAAAAAATAAAAAGAAGAAGCAAGAAAGAGGGGAGAATCGGAGAGAATGGAGGGAGAAACCGGAGAAGAAGTAGAAATTCATGGGGGAGAGGGGGAGGAAGAGGAAGGAGAAGTCATAGGCAACAAACCACCAAAATATTCTTTAATTCATCAAACACTAATGAAATTACATCGCAATTAGGTTTAAATAGTAAAACTGAAACCCTAAGTAGAATAGGCTTGGGCCAACACAAGCGCAATTACATAAATAAAATCTAAAATATAAATAAAGTCCAACTAAAAATAAATAAAAAGTAGATGTCCTCACCACATTTCATTACTTTTCTTTTTATCAGTTTTCTATATCTTCTTGCTTGGATGTATCTCAACCTTTCTATTGTCTTGCTATGGATGCCTAGAGTATCTACATGGGTTTCATACGAAAAGTTGAGAAGTGCAAATATGTATGGCTTTCTCACCTTGATAAAAGTATAGTACCTTAAAGTAGGTAAAAAAGGTGGATAAGGTAGGGAATGCACTTGGGGCCTGTTCAGTGGTGATTAGGAGAATTGATTTTTTAACCGTTAGATAGAAAAGTGGGTCCTATTTATGAGTGAAGAAGTAAAAAAATGACGGCTGAAATAATAAAATAACAGTAAAAAATTTGGTTTTTTGGGGTGAAAAATTGTGTCGGAACGGGGGCTGAATTTCGTAGTGACAATGTCAATTTAGTATTATTTTGGTTTAAGGAAAAACATTGTGAAAAATTACTCTCTCCAGGAAAATGAACATTATTGTAAGACATCCAAAACAGACACAAGGATCTTGGAAACATTATGAACAATTTACATATTCATATTTATTATTTTGACATTAAATTGCCTGTTTGTATAGAGAGTACAAAATGAACGTGGATAAAGCTGTTGTTGAAGAAAACCTTCTGAGACTTTAGCTGCTTATTTTGCTGAATTATGCCATTTGTCTTGACTGCTCATTATGCATAAAGTTTTGTTGGAACTTGGAAGTTTGTAAAGTTGACAAGTATAAGATAGAGGGCAAAGGTTGATGTTATTTATGAATGGAATGTGTTAGCTTCAGGCACAGAACTGGAAGGACACCAAAATCCTTTCCATATAATATAGGAATTTTAGTCTTTGGCTGGCTATGTCGTAGAATTAGTGCATTTTAACTGCACAAATGAATTTGGTAGACTACCAAAAGAAATCAAATTTAGCTGCTTTATTGAAAATGGAGTGTTTGATTATGATACTGAAGTACTAAAACTATGATCAGCATTGAATATTTGTTTTCTTGTATTGCCTCTCAGCCCAATTATTTTGTCTTTCTTTGTTTGTAAGTTGCATTCAACTCAACCTCCGGAAATCTCACATGCATGTATAGACGATATATTTGTATGAAGCCCAAATGACGTAATTGGCCAAATGTTGTAATTAGTCTGTTTCTATAAGTTTGGGCCAGTTAACGTGTCTTCCCTGTTATAATATTTCATTCTAAAGGAATAAAACAGATTCAGTTCCTTTCTTTCTTCCTCTGGTTTCTTTCTGCATTTGCTTTTATTTGTTCTTCACTCATAACAATAGAGGTGGCATTTTTTAATATATTTAACAGTTAGCATACAATGATCTTCTCTATTTTTGTTTCCTGGCAGTGGTGCAGAATTTGTGAGAAAGGAAATTCCTCTTCAAGTACTGCCAACCTCGTCCCTTCTCAATCTGGATTCACCATTGTCTTCATTTACAGATCTTCAGCGTGTTTTATATGAAGAGGAGAGGACTGCTTATAAACAAGCAATCGTTCAAAATATGGGGTAACATTATTAAACTTGATTGAAGCATATGACCAATTCATTCTTATTTCATTGCACTCATTTTGTCCAACCTTGGCAGGGAAGGAAAAGTGCATCCGCTTACTTATATACATCACACATCAACTTATCAGGCCTCCATGTGCAAAATGATAGAATATTGGTAAGAAGCAGTAGAACCTTTTGCACCATAAACTTCGGCTTGACATTTGCTTACATTTATTATGTTACTTGAGCTGCAGCTTAAGCCCTGCCATAAATGTTCTTCAAGATCAGTTGAGAGAAAATGAAGTTCGGGTAATGATCATTTTAGCTTTAATGTCATTTTAGCTTTAATGTCTTGTAGCATTTCTTTTTCCAGTATCATCACTGTGAAATAAGAAACAAACAAAATAAGAGAAAGACCGGCCTATCTAGTTCAATCCCATCTGGGTTTCCCTTTAAACTCGAGCCTTTTTCATATGCTAAAACTGTTGGGGAAGTTTTAATTTTAATTCTAATATATATATATATATTTTTACCCGCTGAAAACTTAGCCTCTATTTGACTGAAGCATTATTTCAAATCTCTTTTTTTTACGTACTCATTTTTAACCCACACATTTACTCAATAAAATATTCTGCACATGAACCCAAGACTTTTCCTAACTTTTTCATATATTCTCCAAAAAATCACTATTTGAAACTTTACTTTACCAAAATAATGGTTGTCAGACTGGGCTTAGTCTCAGAATGTTATTTCTTGGAGACTGAAATGGTCGACAAGTTCCTGAAATGATGCTGAAGCTCTCTTACCACTTACTACAAGGAAGTTAATAATATAGAGAAAATTATTTTATTCTATTTATTTCTTGCTTGATTATCTGAAACATGTATGGTTCTGAAACATTTCCTCTCTCTCTCTCTCTTTCTAATCCCTTTTTAAAAAACAAATAGTCCAAGATTTCCTCTTGTTCGTGGGTTTATTCGCTCATCTTTTCCTAGCCGGATGTTACAATTTGACGTTGTATTTTTTGCTGAAACAGTTAAAAATGCTCGCTGATGAAGCCAATGTTTTGGAGTTGGAGATTTCACGAGGAAGCGAATCAAATTCTTCACCTCGTTCTCCATCCCAGGGGCTTCAAGGTAGTCCATCTGGTCATAGAGACTTGTATCCTACTGGTTTCAACAAAACGAGAAACGTTGGGGTTCCTGGTAGCCGAAGCCGAAAAGGATCTTAGTTTTGTATCAGAACCAATCTAATTAGAGATTGTTCTATGTACTATGTTTGGCTTTTTTGCTTCAATTGAGCCACCCTTTTGTTAGTGTCCCATGTTCTTGCTAAATCTTGCACGTCTATGCTTTTTGTGGGATTTGTATACTCTACTTTTTCGTGGCTCCTATGTGAAAACTGCCTAATGTGATCAAGTTCATACGGGTATATACATGTATTATTGAAAGTTCCAGATGCATATACTTAATCATTAAAGCAACTTGTTATTTTTAACATTAATTTTATTTTAACGTTAAGCTTAGCCAAACATGTTGATATCCCGTCTTCTACTTTGTTCGTATGTTTGGCGCAAGTCATTTGTTTTGTGATGAACTGTTGGCACTAGTCTTACGTTTTGTCTCTGTGGACTGAGGAGCTGCATTAGATCAAACAAAGAATTATTTATTTCTATTTGGCGGGGCTGGACCAAAAAGTAAAATTAAAGGTCAAATCGCATCAACAAATAAAATAATTGGTTTGAGACTTTTTGTTTGATCAATGTGGATTCTTCAATGTTTCAGTTTTGAACTGATTTCAACCGCTTAGAATTGGTTTAATTTAGATTATAATACTCAAAAATCATTTGAAGTTGAATTGAGCCTCATTAACAAAAAAATCGTACCGAGTATAAAGGAAAATGATTCTAGTATATAGAGAATAATAATTTATTACTTCTATAAAATTTTATTATTTACTATGAGTCTGTTTGGGAGTGATTTTGAAAATTGATTTTTTGACCGTTAGGAGAAAAGTGGGATCCACCTGTGAAAGAAGAAGTCAAATATGACGGCTGAAATAGTAAAATAACGGTCAAAAAATCGATTTTTTGGATGAAAAAATCGGATCCCAACAAGTCCTATATATCAAACGATTTGTGCCACTGGTGAGTAAAATGAGGCTTACATTGTTTGAGCGCGCAAGTTGAGAATCCAAATTGTGACCGTTGAAAATGTCAAGCGCCGGGCCCGCACACGTGAATGCATAGGCACAATTATTGAATTTTTGGTGAATGGACAATTTTGGGCCATTTGCATGTGCTACCACTGTTGAGACACAAAAAATAAAATTGGCAGCCTTCCCAACATTGTGCAATGACTTTTCTTGTTGATCTGGGCCCACCCAATGCCCAAAAACCAGTCCATTGCACATGTAAAACAGATTTGGAAATGAATATTGCAAAGACTTTTCTTGTTGACCTGGCCCCACGCAATGCCCATAAACCAATCCATTGCACACGTAAAACAGATTTGGAAATGAATATTGCAAAGACTGTTCTCATAAAGCGGCCCCACGCAATGCCCAAAAACCAATCCATTGCACTCGTAACACGGAAACGAAAATTGCTTGAACACGAGAATAATAATTTGCCATTTGTGTCAACATACAACAGTGACGCAGAAAACATGGCTTGCCCATACTTCAACATATTATTCGAGATACAACAATGTAATGAGAATAGAAATTGTTAAGGGCGTCCACCACTTTGAGCCAACCAATCAAGAAAATAGTCCTAATCATTATGCTGCATTTTCGGTGCGTTCATTTCAACGGTGACCTGTTCGTGTGCGTCCAGCAATTCTACCTCTGTCACGTCGGGGTCCGTCTCAACTCGCATTAATGTCTCGTCAACGACCCCTGCCCGTCGGAGGAAGTGGTGGATGCCCATCATCACCACTACGATTGCGATCTGTACTTTAAAGTTGTAGCGCGGCATACAATCAAATATTTTCCATCGACTTTTCTATACACCGAATGCCCATTCGATTACGTTTCTACACGACGAGTGCTTGAAGTTGAATCTCTTACACGCGTTGTGAAAATTTCTCCTTCGACCCGTCTGAGCGTCATAGAACTACTGGAAATGGTATAAAATATCAAACCCCTTATACGGAGCCATATACCCATGTCTATAGGCAAATCTCGAGTCCATAAGATAGTACTTTTTGGGACTCGGCAACAGGAAATCAATTTTCGGATTGTGTGTAGAGCGCGCTAAAAGGCGTGAATCATGCATTGTCCCCGTTTATCCCGCGAGGACAAACGTAAAACACAGGTTGAAATCACATGCTGCAAGAACATTTTGTGTCGGGATTCCTTTGCGTCCGATAAAATTCACGCATTCGTTCCGAGGCAACACTGCTCTGATGTGCGTCCCGTCAATCGTGCCAATGCAATCTCGGAACAACGAATGCTTGTTCGGATCCGATACGTGATGCTCAGCACCGTGATTGTACTGGGGATCTGATCTTATGAGACACACACTGAATTCAAGAGTTGCCTGTAGCACTTGCTTGAAGTAGTGCCCGATTGTTTCCGAAGAATGGTTGAACAGCGTCTGAACCTGTCGGTATCCTTTTCCATGTGCTAAAATACACAAAAACATTTCGACTTGTTCATACACGTCTACATGCTGGCAGCTGCGTAGTCCATAATTGTCCCGGAGTATGTGTGCGAATCTTCGAAGCATGGGTGGGTACATCCTAAATTCTGCATAGCATTGTTGAGGACTGCATTGCATTGCATCGAGCATGAACATGTGCCCGTTCCATGTGAATGGAAATCGAGTAATCCAATGTCTCTGTTGACGATAGTAGTTTGCCACAATAATTTCCGCCATCCGACACAATCGAAACCACTGAACAATGTCATCTTCAAGCAGTTGCATGAATTCCTCTTCTCCAATCTCGTCTTCATTATCAGAAAGTGGCAGAAGCACACAAATGAAATCCAATTGTCCCATTACCAACATCCCTAACTCTGTTGGGAATTTCCCTACATATTTGGAAGCTCAGAAGAGAGCAAAATAATTTTTTCTCCCTCTCTCTATCATATGAGTGTACTCATTTGTTGTTGCAATGGAAGTGGTCAAGTACCCCTTTTAAAGACTTACTTCATTATGCAATAATGCCACTGCTGAAAATAATTGAAAGTGCACTTTGAAAATTTGTGAAGAGATTTCCCTAGGGACTGAACTCTATAACATAGATGGGGGTGTAAGAGATGTTAAATTATTCATGACAACTATTGACAAACTCCAAATAACAAGCAGCTTTGTGAAAATTGGAAAACTACAAACGACAGTCATTGACATAAAATCTCAGTAGTTGGTAGTACATTTATGGATACAGGAGATCTTAAAAAGTACACAACAACAAATGTCTAAGGTTGATGAAACGCAAACAGAGGAAAACGGAAAAAAATGAAATCACACAAACGATAAGTTCCACGGAGACCCTTCGCCAAGGGGGATCTATTATGTTGCCTATCACGCAGTCCTCATTGTGGTCCTCCTTGCCTGTACTGATGCTAGTTCCACTCCAACCAATCAATCTTCTCGTTCCCATCGTACTGCATCTCCAGAATCTCCTTCTTCCACTTTAAGATAGAAACGTGCACATCCAAAAGTAGAGGTCTGTTTTTTTGGCAATCTGCCCGGCGAACAACTCCTTCATGCATGTCTTCATGCCCAGAACATCAGATCCGACTAAGTTGTCAAGTTTCATCGAAACTTTCTCACTTGCAGTAGTGGCTCTGTCAACCGAGTAAGACAATTCTTTAGTTGATATTTTAGTTCTCTTCCCCTTTCTGTTACTGCCGCTGGATCTACGTTTCTCACTGCTCCTACGGGCGGAGATGTCCATGCTTGATTCGGGCCATGTCGAACTTATAGCCCTCATCAGTGGAGCCGCTGCTCTCCTCGTACATCGGCGTTGCGTCGCGTGTGTCGTCATTGGCACTGTCTTCGAACATGGCGAACCCCGTCCTGCACAGCTTTATCGACGTCGTCGCGTACTTCTCATTGTCGTACACATTGTCGAACAGAACTCGGTAGGCGTATATCTCTCTACAGTCTTTGTCTTTGAACTCTCTGTACTCTTTGTTCTCCTGTTCGGAATGGAAGAAAAATAAATGCAGAAGGAGTCAGGAGTCGGGGTACAAAATGAAAGTTAGGAATCAAGCAATTGAATTTTATGACATATGCTGGAACACAATTTTTTGAATACGAAGGTTATGCAATTATTTGGAAAGTGGCAATTCCAACAGCTTTGTACCTTCATTTTTTGTGCCCACCACTCGTCGGACGCGACTAGGCGGCCGCGTGTAGTGTTAGTATGCGATGCTGGTGCAGTCTATCAAGTCCTGGATACGTTTATACTTGACTTGAAGATAATCCCAGTGATTCTTCAACTGCTGCCTACTCCAATCATGCCCGGAGTTGGCGTTGAAAAATTGGACAATCACATGCCAGCCATGTTTCGTGAAGCACTTCCCGTTATGGTGCCCGTAGGCTATTATGATCTTACAGGCCACCATGAAGACTCGATTATCTACTGGCGTCCACTGTGCAGTCCTCCTCCTAGGGGCTGGGGACGAGATTGCTGGAGGGTTGGAAGTGGAGGTCGTGTGGATGCCGATCTGTGTCTGCGAACGAAAATGAAATAGAAGTGAGATGCGCAGTTTTCTTACATGTAAACGTATAAATCTTAACTGCAAAGTAGTACATGGAAATACACAAAACATAAATGCTCCCTCGTTCGACAACCGGAACGACAAACGTAATCTGCTGAACAACTCAGTCACGAAATGAGATTTGCAAAAAATAACTCACGAAATTTCGGGTCTTATTTTTCCCCGGGCGTTCGAAAATTCGATTGTCAGAGCTTGCCCCAACAAAATGGCAGTACATACATATAATATATATGGATCGGAGTACATTTATGGAGAGAGAACAATTTGCAATTTCACAGCATCACCGATTTCCCATATAGTAGTAAGTCATGGCTGCAGAATGTTGCACTCAAAACTTAATTTTACATAATGGGTTTGCGATTCAAGGAGAGAACCAAAGAACGGCAGAAAAATTTCCCAACTTTTTCAGGCGAACGTGAAGCAACTATGCAACTAAATTATGGAAACACGATTTTAGATTTCAACCACAAGATAGTTTCTGTAAAGAATTTGTATACCACCTACCCTAACCCTTGATGACTAATAATTGGAAAAAATAATAGCATTTTCCCTTTTCCAATTTCTATATCCCAAAATTTTAGAGTTGCCCAGAATTTTCATGAGAAGTCGTCGCTGACCGTTGCTCTTTCGTGCATATTTAATGTTAGTGAACATGTAATTACAAGTTATTATGAGTTACACGCTCGATTTTGCAGCAGCAGCGATTCGTAAAACACAGGGATTCAAATATAGTTGAATTTTGTTACTTATTTTTTCTTTTTTGTTATGGCTAAACTATGATTTTTAAAAATTCAAGCTTGTATAATACTAATATATTGCAGTATTTACGTTTAGAAAGTTTCACTTAAGCTTTATATTTAGATTTTAGACCAATACTTATGTTTTAGCTTGTTTGAAAAATGTTACTTTTCCGTTGCTGGTAAATGTTATTTTGAAACCAAATGGAAGAACCGATACGCCTTCTTTGGTATTTGTTTCTTTAAAGTAGTTGATGAGATTTGGCATTTTTCCTTACCTAATTTTATTGTTGTGTTTATAATTTTTGACAGTTAGAATCCTTCATTTTTTTACTCTATAAGTATTCTATTTATTTATGCAGTGTATTCATTATTCATACATCTCAATTTACAAATCTAATTCATAAATTCTTAGCCATTCAACCGTGATTTTTCTTGCTCTAAATCTCCATTAACTTATTGCTAGTTATTACTGTGTTGTGGAGTTCTGTTGGAGTCGAACCCTGGTTCTCTCATTTTTGGTTTTCCCAGAATTATTAGTTGTTACATCGTGTTTTGTGAAACGTGTGGTGTCTCTGGCCATTGGATGGAGTGGATCTAGAATGATCCTTGGCTGATCCCTTTGGCTTCCTCACTTAATTCATTCACTTGGTTCTCTGTGTTGTTGAGAGAAAAGAGAGAAAAAAAGGAAGATGCTAGGGTTTTCCTTTTCGTTGGGATTTCTACTTAAAATCTCTAATTTTAGGTTTAGAGTGATAGCATAAACCTTCGATTTTGTAATATTTTGAGTGGATATTGTCTGAATCTGTGTGATACCGTTGTTGGTGGTTTTGGATCTGCTCGCAGGGGTTATGTGAAGATTTCTGGGTGGATCTCTGAGTGTTGTCACTGTATTTTTAAGCATCCAAGAAAAGGATTATGTTTTGTTTTCATCTCTCTAAACATTTGTAATTTTGTTGCCATTTTGGGATGTTCTTAGTTCAACCAAGCATAATCCTTTTCTTGGATGCTCAACGGGGGATGAAGGTGTTAGAAGCGGTCACCGAATCTCCAAGGCTTAGGCTGAAATAATTTTTTGGTGTTCAACTTTAATTTTCTGCAGTTTACTTTCTGTTTGATTAAGTTATTCTTGTTTCTTAACGCATACAGCGTGTGATTCTAGCTTTTCAAGTTCCACAATTTTACTAACGATAATATTAATTTATATGATAGTTGCTGTCTAATAAATCTAGATGATGATACTCTAGAAATTGAATCATCTAGCCAAACAAAAAACAAGCATCAAATATTTGACAAATTTTTAGAGTTGATTTAGAAAGAGGAAAGGTAGTGTACAAAATTTGTTCAAAGAATACACAAGTCTTCATGGTTAAGGCATTGTCACATTGCATCGATACGAAAATCTTACATTAAGGAAGCAAGAAATTTAGATGCCAGACAAATTCAAATTACTTATTTTAAATCTCCTTGTGGATTAATTATTCTTTTTTTTTTTATTCATAGGAGAGAATCAAAACTAGAATATCGAAATTTTTGGCGCGAAACACTTTTTGCAGAAGATAAATACTTTGAGAAGTTTTTGCAAAAGTATGTCCAACCTTTTTTTCTAAAGGTAAGTAGAAATAATGCTTGTTCCAATATTATGAAATTATTTCAAACAATGACAAAATTTAAAAATAGAATCTTGTAATTTTAATTGAATTATTTCTTTCATGTCCGAATGTTGGTCTGGATTAACTATAATGATGTGCTTGTGTTATTGTACATTTTATCGATAATAATTATTATTGCATTAAAATAACTATTGCTTTTCATTTACTTGAAAATTCACATAATTGTCCAAATTCGTATGAGAATTTATTACAAGTTTTCAATGAATTTGAAGTTTTACATAAATCCTTTAACATTAGTCTGAAATTTTAATTAGATCTCTTCAACCCCATTTAATCCTAAATTATTTCATATTTCATGTGTTTGACATATACTTAGTTAAGCAACATGGTTTGAAATTAATAACACCACAAATTTCCAAAATAAGAGAGGCTATTAACTATATTACTTCTTCAAATTCTCGCAACAAGAATTTGGAAAAATTTTGGACTGAGAAAAAGAAAATTTGTTGATGACATTCCATGTACAAGGATTCAACATTTTTTATGCTAAAGTCGTGTAATGAGTATTCAAATGATATTAATGTCGAAATATCACAAGTAACCCCTAGTCCCGGGCCATTGCATGAAAAAGTGTGACCAAAATCCTTTTTATCTAGTGTTAACTTGGAACAGTGAAGAAGATCCTTCTCCTTCCTTTTTTTGGGAAGAAAAGGAGGATCCAAACAAAATCTATGAAACGAAAGAGATCCGAGTGACAAGCAATCGATATTTCACGATCAAGGGTGTAATGCACTTTACGTTAGTTCGAAGTAAACCCAATTTCATGTTGAAGTTGAGATCGGAAAAATGCATTTAAGGTTATGAAATTTTCAAATCCTTTCTATAAGGTAACAATAATTTGTTCATGTATCTATTACTCAATAAGTTGTTTACTATTTTTACTATTAACTAGTAGTAAGAACGTGCATTGCACGTCTTATGTGCGAAATGAATGATATACGTAATATTTTTAAAGTTAGGTAATTGATAATGTTAATAGAAAAAAATCAAATTGTTAAAAAATATACATATAAATAAAAGGTTTATGAAAATTACTTACATAAAGTGAAAATGTTGAATAAATTGAAATGTAATGATTTGTTTATACTACACTTTGGTTGGACCCCTATTTTCAACTATTACGACAATATCAACCAAATTTGTGATACAGATAGACACGAAGAAAAACCAAATTAAAATATGTGCATTTGATCAAGTTTAAAATGTTTACGTATAAGAAACTAAAGGTATGTAAATAATTTTCACGATAAAAAATTTACTCATTTTGTCTGTACCATAAACTTTTTTACCTAAAAAAGAAGGAAAAAAATTATCTTATCTAACATATTTCGAAAAAAAAATTACATATCAATCATGATCGTCATATTAATCCATAACATTTATTTTAAATTAGAAACCGAAGTTACATTCAAAATAAATACCGAAGTGAAAAATTTTAAACAAAAGTTTTCATTTTCTTTTGAATGGAGGAATAGAAATTCTCCATTTAAATGTACCGAGATAAAAATCTTTTTTTTTTCTTTATATATTTATATCTAATAAGTAACATGATTACCATCATTTTTACACTTATACAAAAATAAACATGCAATAATAAATGCCCAATATTATATTAATTATTTTCTAGAACACATAATATTAATTTTTATTAATATTTAAAAAATTGGATTTAGTGAAAATGTGTAATTGAGATGCAAAACTTGTATTTAGTGTGTGGATAAAATATGGGAAGTATAAGTAACTCCTAATTATTACGAGTAATTAGTAAGGTTTTCAAGATTGATGGATACTTTCTCCGATTATCGATTCTTTCCCTCCTAATTGTTGATCACATTTAAGAAATTTTTTCTTTTCAATTTATTGTCCTTTGTATTTAAATAGTTATATTATCAACTATTAATTAATTAAACGTGAGATTTATAATTTTTGAATGAAAATATTGACAATGTTATAAGGTCAAAATGATAAATAGAATATTTCTCATCTATCTCCACATTTTATTTTTATATATATTGTAATTATAATATAATTATATAAGTAGACGAATGTTGATTTTAAGTGAATATATATATAAAGTAACATTATAATATATTAAAGGTGGCATTAACGATAGATTAATTAAAATTTAATTTCATGTAGTCTCCTTTTTAAGTATAAAGTTCATTTTTCATATTGTAATACTCATGATTTTAGATTAATTAAATTAAGTTTAGTCACTTAAAATCAAAGCTCATCTACATATATAATCATATTAAAAATATAATAAATATTATTTTATATGACAATTAATCTACCGTTATATTAATGCAACCGTTAATATATTTTATTATATAATTATAATAAAATTACATCTAAATGTGAGCTTAGATTTTAAGTGATAAATTTAATTTAAATAATGTAATAAGTAATTAAACTTAATTTGATTAATGTAAAATTTTAAGTACTCCAATATAAAACAATAAGCATTACACTTAAATGGATATTAATGAAGTTAAATTATATTAAGTGGTACTATATTAAATATATATGGGTGGAATTGACATATAGCTAAAAATATAAGGGGTTTTTATGAAGAGCATTAATTCAATTTATTCAACATGATATTGAAAATGGATGTTGTTTAAGGAACGTAAATGATGGCCCTAAATTCTGATATTGATATTAAAAAATTTATTTTAATTTGATTAATAGTATTAATTCAAAATGAAATTGAAAAACAGATGTTTAATGAGCTCAAATGATGGCATTAAATAACCATTTAAAGAAATTAACAAAAATATTTTTTTAATTAAATTAATAGCATTACACTTAAATGGATATGAAATGGTACTATATGAAATATATAATGGTAGAATTGACATATAGCTAAACATGTAAGGATAAAATTGGTATTCAAAAGTTTCTCCTCAATCCACACTTTTAATAGATTGTACATTATTAATAATTGTGTTTAATGGAAATTAATAGACTTAATTTTCGAAAACAATAATAATTATTAATTATCCTATTTAGAGGAAATAAATTGAATCATTTGATATTCTGTAGTTAATTATATATGTATTATTATTATTATTTCTTTTAATTGTATGTAATGATGTTTTCATTAATTGTGTACTGATAATTGTGTTTAGTGAAAATTAATTGACTTAATTTTCAAAAGCAATAATAATTATTAATTATCTTATTTAGAGGAAATAAATTGAATCATTTGGTATTCTGTAGTTAATTAGAGGAAATAAATTGAATCATTTGGTATTCTGAAGTTAAATTGTGTTTAATGGAAATTAATTGATTTAATTTTCAGAAGCAATAATTATTATTAATTATCTTATTTAGAGGAAATAAATTGAATCATTTGGTATTTCATTTTTATCTAAACTTAGGTATACGCATTATTAATTGTCAATCAAAACAAATTTTAAATAAGGGTGACATATAGGTAAATGTCTAATGGTATAATTGGTATTCAAAAGTGTCTTATCAATCAACACTTTTTATATATATATAAATATATTGGACATATAGGTAAATATATAATGATATAATTGGTATTCAAAAGTTTCTCATCAATCTACACTTTTAATATATTGTAGATAGACATTGCTGAACAATTGTCGAGTTATAGGTATGACGAATTTTTACTCAAATTGTTTATGCGATGGAAGAAAAGTTTTGAAAATATTACCAAACCGTCACTAATTTTTCCGGTAATAGCTATGATGGAGCCTTGCGTTAAATTATATGGGTTCAATGTGCTCTGGAAAAACTTTCAGAAAGTTTAATTTTTAATACAAATATTAAAAATTAAGAATTGGAGTCATATTAATGAATGGTATAATTCCTATTTAAGTAAATATGAAAATGATGAAAGGGTTTGATCCTTTACGAGCTCTGTTGCAACTTCTAAAGTTAATGTTTCATTTTGTTTTGTGATAGGTAAGAAACATCATGGTGCTATAATTCTAACACTGGTATGAACGCTACACCTGCTGGATTAGAAAAATATTATCAATTTGATCGCTATAATTTGTTTTCGGACGATGAAGTATTAAATTTAGATATCTTAATATAGTGAAAAATAAATGAAAGATCTTATCCAATGACATAAAAAATGGTACGAGATCTACTAACATTTTTTCATATCAACAGTGTCATCCATTTTTCTTTTAGTACATGTGGTAGGGTATTGGATGAAAGAAGGTCAAGGATTAAGAAAGATATTTTATAAGTTCTTATACGCGTTTAAGATTGAATATTTGTAGTTAGGAAGAAGATAAAATGATTCACAACATCACTAAAGACTTCAAAAACATTGCAAAAGAAGTCGTGGACGAATAATTTTCAGAACTGGAATAATTTAAACAACTTAATTATAGTTAGGTAGGTGCGAATCTAGTTGTGATGTACTTAAACTGTGTACATACAAATGATTGATAGTTACGTAAGCGTCAACCTAGTTGAGATCTATTTAAAACTAAAATCACTCAGTTGAGAAATTGTTTTTCTGTCCAAAGTGGGTAGGATAAGACAGTCCACATCTTGCCCACTTGTTGACGTGACAGGAAAACCTTACTTAAGATTCTCTTCCATTTCCACTTGTTGATGTGGTAGGAGAATCTTACTTACAATTCTCTTCAAATAGGAGAACCTTAAATAAGGTTTTCTCTCAAATGGGAAAGATAAAACTTTCCTTTGTGTATAGGAGAATGTGAGTGCACTCAGTTGGAATATATTTTAGAATTATTCAAATATTTTTTACAAAGATAGAAATAAATTGCTTTAAATCAAGGGAAAATTTCACATACAAGAGATTAAGTATAGGTCATTTTAAAAATAAGAAAATAAGTATCATATTTCAAAAATCAGAAATTAGCCTAAAAATAAATACAAATATTAATATAATTTGATATGGAAAACAATCCCGAGCAAAGAGCCGTAATATCAGGATTCTCCTAAAAAAGATTAATTCATCTTTCAATCTAATTTCAATAGCCAGAAGATCTGAAAATACATCCAATTACGACCGGCTCTTGTGGAAGTGACGGTGAAACCGAATTCTGGTCACAAATTGCAGTCGTGGGTCGTATGAGATCGGCTCGAACAGTCACTGAAAACATTATTCAGGCGTGTAATTGCGATTTATTCATTATAATTTGTCGTTTTTTCACGCTAGACAAGCTTCGATTGATCAGAAATATGATTTTTGACAGAACTCTGATCATGAATAACGGACATTGCTGTTCGAAACTGTTGTGACCGTTATGGAAAACATGTGACCCTGGATACAAGATATAACCTCATGCATTCAGTATGTATGGGTGTTTGTGTCTCGAAATGTGTGACGTGTTTGAATCTGTGTATTATGATACTGATGCTCTTGTTCGAATCTAATCATATGCGACAGACCTATTCTTAGTTACTGTGACCGATTATTGCATGTAATTGTAACACATTGAATACATATGACATGCATGTATTCAATGTGTGACCATGACATTCAAGATACCACATGCGTTTGCTTCAACCCGTGATCATTTAACAGAATTGTGACCAACATGCAATTAACTGTGACCAATATACAAAGACTTAAATGTCACACGTGACCTATGCAATGATCTGTGACCTCCCGTAAAAAAAATCTGGGAAATAAAACTATGTGACCTGCATGTTTTCAATACGTGACAATGATACTTGAGATTCAATCTATGTTTGTTGTGACATTTGACCATTAATTTAATTTTGACCCATTTGCAATTAGATTTAACATATATTTGGATGTTAGGCTGATCATGTATTTGCTAATTTTGTAGAAAATGGGGTTAATTCACGTGTGTCTATTGAATGGATCACAAGTGTCACTGGTTTTAATTGATCGTAGTTGTGGGTATTTGAGGCTTGTCGACACAGTTATGAAAGAGTTTAGCTTTGACCCTGCAAAAGTTGCTGTGACAATGAAGTATGTCTTGAACAGTGACCTGCCTCCAGTAGCAATCAAAAGTGATGAGAATGTCTTGTCTTACATGGTTTTAAAGGATATGAGTCGTGACCTTGCGAAATATCTAATTCACATCAAGGTAACAACTGCGGATATCGAAAAACAGCCTATTGCGCTATCAGTTGATGTTCAATCGAACGAACATGGGTTCTCATTAACAGATATGTCATCAGACATATGTGGATCAATAATGGATCCATTTAGTGACAATCTTGAGCATGAGGTCACAGTTGTGGCAGTGGCAGATGCTAGGGAGGTAGAGGAAGGAAGAGTCTTCCGTAACAATGAGATAATGAAATTGAGCTTGTCGTTTTATGCAATCCAGAACATGTTTGAGTACGTGATTGTTCGGTCCGATAAGAAAGACTATCTTGTAAAATGTTCACATGATGAGTGTAATTGGATATGTAGAGCATCGAAGCTGGCCAAAACAGATATGTTTAAAATCAGACACATTGCAGAAGGTCACATATGTGCTTCAAACATCGTACTCAGTACTCATAGGCAAGTAACAAAGACGGCTGTGTCAACTTGCATTAAGTATAAGTACACATCATCGCACACAATATACACACCGAATGATATATGCAACGACATGCTGCATACATATGGAGTATCTTTGAATTATGTCCAAGCTTGGCGATCTCGAGAGGAAACTCTGAAAGTGCTTAGGGGTGATCCAACTGATTCATTCAATAAGATACCAGCCTTTTTTTTTGTGCTACAACAAACAAATCCTGGATCAGTCACATGTTTAGAAATTGATGGTCACAATAGGTTTAAATATTGCTTCATGGCACTAGGTACATCTATACGGGGATGGAAACATTGTAGGCCAGTTGTTGTGGTTGATGGACCTATCTAAATGGACACTATGGTGGCACCTTATTCACGGCGTGTACACAAGATGCAAATAATAGCATTTATGTCCTTGCTTTCGGGATTGGGGATAACGAGAATGACAGCTCCTGGATATGGTTTTTTAGACAGTTGAGAAAAGCATATGGGGATAGAGACAGTTTGTGCTTCGTGTCAGATCGTCACAACAGCATCAAAAAGGCGATTGAAAACGTGTATCCGGGAGCATGTCACGGGATATGTTCTTACCATCTACTACAAAATCTAAAATCACGGTACGGGAGATCAGGACAAAACATAACACAAGTATTCAATGCAGCTGTTCGTGCCTACACACTATTGGAATATGAATATTACATGCAACAACTCGGCTCGATTAATCAGAAGATAAGGGGTTATCTGGTACTATACTATATGTTGTCCTATGATGATATTCACATAAATACGTTTAACATGGTACTGTACGCTATATGATACACATTTCCATGGTTTTGTTTGTAGGACGAAGTTGGATCTGAGAGATGGTCACGTTTCTACATGCCTTCAAATCGGTATTCTACAATGACATCGAATATTGTGGAGTCGGTTAATGCGGTCACAAAGTCTGCTAAGAACTACCATATTCTAGCTTTGTTGGAGTCATTGAGACAAATTCTACAATCTTGATTCTGTAGACACAAGGAGGATGCCCAAGGCACTTTTACAACCTTGTCAATCAAGTATGAGAAGAAGATGAGGGAAATGAGTACAGATATGAGAAACTTGAGGGTAAGCTTGATTACTGTGACCTAATCTATAATCTGTGACTTACCGGATCTGATCTGTGACATGTGCTGTGACTTCTGCTGTGATCTGTACCGTTGTGTTTCAGTAATATTTGTACAATATTATATAGAACTACATGACATGCAATTTCATCTGTGTCCTACTTTTTAATTACGTGACTTGTTATGCCTATAACTTGAGTCTATATCTGTAGGTTTCACCCATTAATCAGGCAATGTTCTCAGTTAGCGGTGAAAGTTTCTCTTTCGTTGTTGATATAGAAAATCGGACATGCACATGTAGGATGCTTCAAGTTGATCAACTACCTTGTCCACATGCTTTGGCTGTGTTTGCGAGTATGAAGATGGATCCATATAAATACTGCTCCTACTATTACACAAGTGAAGCGTTCAGAAATACATACCAAGAAACCATTTTTCCGGTAGGAAATCCAGCTGAATGGACAGTGCCAAATGATGTCCATGACATAGTTGTAATTGCACCTAATCAAAAGCGAAGTTGTGGAAGGCCTACTGAGAAGAGATTCAGAGCAGCGTACGAGGAAAACATAACCGTCAAATGTGGTCGGTGTGGTGAAAGTGGTCACAATCGTAGAACATGCAGCAGCTTAGTTCCGTTGAGTCAAAGCAACAAGAATAAAGAGAGGAAGAGGATGAAGACTGGAAATGCACATTGATAAAATTTTTATAATTCCATTGTTTTTTTT